CATTTCTTCTCGGGCTACATCTGCCTGGTGTGCTGCTGTAATTTTGAGCAGCTTAGCCTGATCCCTAATCAGGCCATTGAACGCAACTCGCTCTCCAGAGAATAATCCCATTGTTCTGTCAGCAGAGGAGCACTTGTTAATAGTACCTTTATGCATGTCTCCATACACTGCTTGAACTTGAATCATGGGACAGCGCTGACTCCTGAAAAAGGCCCTCTTTCAACGCCTTCCCTTGTTCTCTTCTGTTTTTATTGTCTTACACGCGGCTTTGTGTGGGAGCACCGTTTCAAAAAGCCTGTCTTCACTGCCCTGACCCAGTTGTTAAAAGGACTAATTGTGGAGATTGGCCCATCAGATTTTTCTTCTCCTTCATGCATTTGTTGTCCAGCTCTAAGCCCTGAATGGGAAGGTGGTTAAAATGGATGTGGATGTTAAATTAGGCGAAAGGAATTGAGGAAAATTACCCTGGAATGAGAGGACTAAATATTGAGTGGTCAGCTGCGCTTGCTCTTTAAAAGCTTGGTTGAATTTTTGATTTGGAAATTTTCTTCATCAAAATGTTCATGAATTGCTGATTATCTTGGGATTTGTTGCAAATAATCATTTTATTATCACTCTTAAAAAGCTGTATTTTTAAATGCTTCATATTTTCATGGAGCTTCTTAACACTAATTAAGAATCAGTGAACATGTACCTTTACTGTCTGAAAGACAGTGCCTCAAAACTGAACATCTCAATTCTTCATAATGTATGTATATTCTTGCAGCTAACAAAATGATTACTTTGCATTATATTCCCAGAGTTCATACAGACACAATGGCAAATTTTTATTCCAATCAGTGCTAAACAGCGAGCTGCAAAATTGGAGCGGCAAAACAATAATTCCACTGATTAGCCCCTTTCTGTGTGGCGTAAGTGAACTGTTTATACTGTTGAGTACCTCTGCAAGAGGAGAAGAACCAAAACAGCCTGATTAGGCAAAGAGTAATTGAATAAGTTCATTTCACCATGAGGACAAGGCACAGGATGACAGCTTGCACCAAAGTCTGCAGCTTCTGTTGACTCGCATTAGTAATAAGGTGTTGGATGTTGGGATGTGTCGCGTTTTGACGTTGATTGTAAAAGCTTTCTGGAGGGCTTTTATGAAAAAATCAGGTGTTTTTCGCTGCTTCAGCCAATAAAAGGGATCATTTTGGTATCTGCATATTTGAAAAAGATATAAAGATTCAATGTTGCCGAGCCCTTGTTATCAAATAAGGCAAATTAAGCCAAAGTGCAGAAATTCGCTAATTATTTTAACTGAATGTGTCCTTGAAAGACAAATCCAACGTGTAACTTTTGAAACTATTATTTTGATAGGAAAACAAAACAGGCATTGCTGGTTGCCTGTTTTGTGAAATGCTTTCACTCTTCCCTCTGAAGCGCCCTTTTACTTTACTTTTTACTAACTGCAAATGTTGAACATAAACTAGACGAAAACCTCATTATTATATTTTAAAACACAATCATTAAGATCCAGCTATGGCTCAACATAAAAGAAAGGAAGTGGTGAAAGTATAACTTATTCAGAAATGACTCAAATTCATTCTTAACATCTGAATATTATTAATCAACATAAAAAGAAACTACAGTAAAAGAGAAACATAAAACTCTGATTTATGTTGTCGATGTAGTGTTGACAGATGGTGTTTTGATCATGAATAATAATGCTGAACCTAAATAGCTGTAAATGATTTTGCCAACAAAAGCTTTAGCTAAAGTATTTTTATTTCTTCTATGCTTACCTCATGTTTTGTATGCAAGTAAAGAACTAAAATTGTTTAACAACATTTATCTAGTTTTATGTTTTCTTATGCTGATTCATTAACATTCAGTCGCAATTTTCCAGACAGATTTGTCATACGAACACATCATAGTTACAATATTTTTTTATTTGTGCATTAAATAACTGAGTACATATCTTAGATTGATATGTATGTCATGCCACAATGTACGCAAAAGTCAGCAAAGAGAAAAGTTAATGCCTCATAATTTACAGTCTTCAATATGCACATGGCTCAATCGTTTGCATCATATTTAATGGCGGACACATATAGGTTTTTGCTCGAAGCCACATATGAAATCGTGTTGATAACCTGTGGCGTGCTGCTACCTGCCTGGCCATGAACGTCACCAATAACTCCGTGACACAATCTGCTGTTCTTTACAATTAGCTTTTAGCTCATTTTTTCCAGCTTCCATGTAACCATGTAGAACTTTTTACTACATGCTTACGTGCCACTCATGCGTCAATAAGCGTAAAACTTTCAACGCTGACGCTACGTCGAGTCAATGAGTTACACCTGAGTCAATGTTAATTCTACATGTTGCCAATGAATTTTGTTTAGGTGTAGACTAATCAATAATGACCTGGTCTAAAAAATGGGTTAAACTTGGAATTAAAAATGTATAAGGTCGGCAAAAGACTTTTAAGCGAAAAACAAAATAGTACAATAAATCTTTAATGGATCCTATGAATTTCCAAAGAATGTTTCTGTTTTTTTTTTTGTTGTTGTTTTTTTTAGAACAGTGGCACAGTGAATAAAAATGGAAATTAATATAAAAACTTCAGGAAAACTCAGTCAAGCTAATTCTTTCATTTGAGCTGATACTGACTGAAATGATACTGATTATTCCATTTAAACTGAAGTACTGACAAAGTCTTTTTTTAAAGCTAGGAGACGTTGTTTCCCGTCACTTCTGTACTATTTTCTGCATGTCACTGCTAAATCTTGCTTAGATGCAATCTCACAGGGCCTCACCTGTCAACACCTTTGCACAAACTTAAGTGTCAACACATGAATATGGATTCAGTGACTCCCCCAAATGCATTCCAAACATCATGTCCCTCATTGCTGCAGCAGCTAAAGGCAAGCCATCATTCAACCTGACATCCACTTCTTTGTCTGAGACAGCAGACACATTACGCTGCACTGTAAAACTTAACAAGCTGCTGTTGTTTTCTGTTTTACAAAAGTATGTGCAATTCAAATTCAGCTTTACTGCAGACCTTACCAGTCAGCATCAAGTGTTATTTTTGTCATATTTGATTTTATCAAGAAGCTTCCATCAATTATCTACTTGGTTTTTGAGACAGGCATTATGGAAGGCAGCTTGCAATTGGGAGTGGAAAGAAAAAAGTGACTGATCAGTGTCAAATAAGCCTTGCATATACTGTGCAAATCTTATTTGCACAGTATATGCATCCACTCCTTGTGTAGAGGATGTCCACTAACGCCACCCTAAAAATATGACTGTCCACAACAACACTGGAAACAAGTTTCACTAGATGAAGGGTGAGCTATTTACAGATTCTGAAAGTGCTGATCCCATGATCGTTAATGGTATGAAACACATGCAATCTAGGAATAAAATGAATAAAATATGGGCATGTGGGGAATATTGGCACTCTGGAAACTACATCAGCAAGAAAAGAGCCCTCAAACGTTCAGAAGAATTGTCCCCAAACCTGATCTGTAACCTGGGGGTGGAACTCTGGGTTCTTTGAACGCAGCCAAATCTTCAAAAGATCCATTTCTGAAAATGAACATTTATTTCTAATATAGTTTTTGTGTAGAAAAAAACTATATTAAAACAATATAAGTTGAAAAAAAAAAAAAGACCACGACATGTTCTTGCAAAAAAAAAAAATGGTTATGTATTTTCAGAAAATTTAATGTTTTAAAATGTAAATGTCTTATTCTTTAGATTAAAATTGTGTTTTAATGAGTCTTTAACTGAAGATGATCACATGTGGCTCAGAAGTATTAAAAATAAAAATAGGATAAATAAAAGAACCAGTTGATTCAGAGCCGCTGCAGCAGATGCTAGCTTCAGCATCGTTAGCAGCTAATCTAGTCGCTCTAGTTTACAAACATTTTCTACTTTGTGTTAAACTCTGTCATCGTTTTTCTCTACTAAGTTCCCAAAACGCTGCTGAAGAATTAAAATGTGTTGACAACTTTTTCCAGGCAAATGAGTGTTGTCAGGCAGCCTGATGAACGGGTTTTATTAGAAACAGAGCAACAATTCAAGAACTAATTCATAATTCAAAACGTAGACACGACAGAGTGGAAAATTCGACACATTCAGTTTCATATCTTCAAAGAAAAAAGTTGTCTTTTTTAAAACGGGCTGCAGCTGAGATGATGGTGGGTTCTGACCTGTTGCTTTCTCTTTTATGAAGTAAATAAAATCATGTTTTTGAGTTAAATGTATTACAATCCTCGGGTTTAACAAACGAATTAGACGTTTTTACTGCCTGGCGCACGGTTAATGTTAAAGGCTGGCGCTCTCATGTGGCAGATGCACTCGCTACTTCCTCTGATCACCTGCTCCCAACCTGCCACAGAATCAGAAGGAGTCCTGAGAGCCCGCTGCTGGCTAAATGGTCTGCTTCAGAGCCTCATTACCGAATCACCAGCAACATTAAGATGCACATCATTAGGAGATTAGGACTCTTTTCCTTTATTTATGAATGATGACATGCTTTTTCTGAAAGTAAGATAAACTTTGTAATTTCACTCTGCATTTTCTGTTTATTATAATAACTTTCTTGTTTTGCTGCACTTAAAGCCAGTTTTAGATGAGCTTACTATACTGTTGCACTTGAAGTTGGTTTCTACCATTTCTGGCTGAAAAGATAAGTATCGGCTGTATTTCTAAATTCCTGATTGTGTTTGTTATGACTTTCCTTCTATCCCACAGGGCTTTATATGTGGATGTCTATTTTCCCCACATTCTCTGCATCAACTAATGATTTTTTTTTCTTTCTTTCTGAGCTGAATCACATCACTGTTTCCCATTTGATCCCAGAAAGTCAATGTCATTGATTTTGCTGTTCTGATTTGCTGCTCTGTATTACACGTTATTCACATAAATCAGAACAATTGTTGTTGAGATAAAGGATTTCCCCCCCATCCCCATTTGCGTGTGTGTGTGTTTGTGTCCTGTCCCTGCAGGTGCTTTTGAGGATGAGGATATCATCCATGTCGAGGGGACAGTGGACCCTGTTCGAGATATCGAGATCATCCACGAGGAGCTGAGGCTGAAAGACGTGGAGATGATCGTCCCCATTATCGACAAGCTGGAGAAGACGGCCGTACGAGGCGGTGACAAGAAGCTCAAACCAGAATATGTGAGTCAATGTCCCAGCAGGCCCTTTGCTCCCCCTCACAGCAAGGCACAAATAATAACCCTCCCACACACACGGCCGTAGAGAAAAAAGTATGTTTTTTTTTTTTAATCTCCCTCCAATAGGCCCTACCCCTCCCCCTGGCCCATTTTTTCCCTCTCTGAGATTGAAAGTGATCAGGGGTCAGGGGTTTTCTGCTGTAGAAATCATTAATAGAGTGTTACTTATTCAGCTGCCGACCCCGGGTCACAGCACTGGGCTAATGAAAGTGTTTCCACACAGCTCTTTTCATCTAAAGTAATACTCAAATCATGGCACAGCTCTTGCTCATGCTTATCCTCCTACAGCAGCTTGGGAAATTGTTTAAGGCCATACAGTGGCTGACACATATCCATATACCAGGTTACAAATACTGTAAATGTTTAGAATAATCCATGACAGTTTGTCGAAGGTGTGAGGTTAAAAAAAGAAAAAAAAAAAAAAAAATAGGAAATAAAATCTGCATCCTGGATGTCGGATCAAGCTGAATGAGGATTGTTATATTGTTGCAGTAATGAGGGCGGGAGGGCAAACTCAGTGATGATTTGATGCTGACCTATCATTGGACCAGGAAGGAACAGACTGGAACGCAAGGAATATATTTGGCCTTTCACTCGCAGCGGAGCAGCCCAATTCCAGATCTGACCACTCATTACACTAACGAGGGGGGCTATTTCACCTGCTGCAGACACCCCCGTCACTGGTTGGTTTGCCTCAGACATCCTACCCTCATCCCCCCACCCCTCTTGCCCACAGCCACCATCCTTTCCCTTTCAGCCTGCAGCCCTCCCCAACGCCCCACAGACAGGAGCCATTCAGGCTAGGCAGGTGGCCGCTTACTGCCATAATTGCTAACAATTTTAGGCAATGAATAAAAATAATCTACATTACTTGTCAAAGGTTGCGCACACGTCGGCAAGTGAGAATCTATAGAAGAACCTCTCTAGACGTTCTGAAGAATGGCGACCATCAAAGGGCTGCAGCGAGCTCTCAGGCGGGAAGGGGATTGTGTGATTGCCTCGCTGGCTGAGCCCTGGGGCTCGACGTCCTCAGCTGCTTGCAGGCGTACACGCGTGTCTTTATATCACCGTCCAAGCAGCGCGTCAAGACACAAGAGGAAAGAGGAAAACGAGGACTGAACAGTTGCTTGCACTGTAATTTTCAAAACATTTGAAATAGAGCTTAATCATTGTGTCATGAGATGGTGTAAGAAAAAAAAATCACTCATTTTATTAAAGTACATTTGGTAAAAAGTAATATGTAAATGAGAAGGACTTTTACGTTGCCAAGCAAGACTACTTGTGTTCCTTGAACTTTTATGTATTGGGATTGTGGTTGGTAGATCAACAAAAAGTTGAAGACAATTGTGAAGTGAAAGAAAAAGTGTTTAGCCATTTTTAACGCTAAACCCCTAAAGAATATGTTACACCATATAAATCTAAATAAAGCTCTGGCAGAGTTTCTTTTTTTGTTTGTTTTGTTTTTTGCCACTGCACTGCTTGACCCTCTGTCACAGTATCAAGTCTTCTGGCACCTTCATCAGGTTTTCTTGCAGGATTGTCCTGCATTTTACTCCAATCATCCTCCCACAGCATCATGGCACCACCACCATGTTTCACTTTTTTGGATGGTCTGTTCAGGGTAAATTGTAGTGCTAGTTTTTTTTTTTTTTGTTAAGCACATGCTGTTTTGAATGTAGGTCAAGAAATATAACTTGGACCTGAGTAGGGCACCTTCTTCCACACGATTCTTCTTCCAGTGATGTTCACAACTATTAAGTATATCGACAGATTTTTCCACTAGCTGTGAATCTCTGTGTCTCCTCCAGAGTTACAATGAACTGCTTAGCTCTCGCTCTTATTAATTCTCTCCTCGCCCAGCCTCTCAGTTTTGGAAGACGGCCATGTCTTGGTAGGTTTGTAGTAATGCCAAATTGTTTTTTTATTTTTTTTTAATTTTATTTTATTTTAGATAAGAGGCTGAAAAATACTCTTTGAGATTTCCAGCACTTGGGATATTTTATAACCCAACTCTGCTTTTAACCTCCCCTCAATAGCCTCCCTGATCTGCCTGCTGCCTTTCTTGGTCTTGGTGATGCTGTTGGTTCATTAATGTTCTCTGACAAACCTCTGAGGCCTTCATAGCATCATTTGTACTCAAAGATTAACAGACAGAAACAAATCACTGATTTCTAGAAGCATATGATTTTATTAGGACTATGCATGTGAATTGAGTACATATTTATACCACATCTATTTTCTTCCACTTCACATTGATGTGTTACTTTGCATTAATTTATCCCATGAAATATAAATAAAATGATCTAAAGTTTGTCATTGTAACCTGATGAATGTGAAAAAGCCCAATGATTTGAAGACTTTTGTAACACACTGCAATCCACAACAGGTGTGTGTGTTTTCCAAGACAGTGGCATAAAACAATAAAATATTTTATTATTTGGCACTACAGATATTTACAGAACTAGAATATGCTCCGTGAGAACACATCTCATTTCTTCCTGTTTATCGTTTAAAAACGGGAATGGTATTATAATGGAGAAATAGACTATTTACGGTATAAAACCACAAAAAGCTGTGTAAAATTGGACACCAACATATATGATTCGCAAGAAAATGCTAACTTAAATTAAAAGCATTTTAATGAACAGAACAGACAGAAACTTGAGAATTTCAAGTATAAAAATCAAAAAGCATGATTGGGAAAAAAAACCTGTAGATATTCTTTAATAGTCTTCATACTTCTGGACCAGAAAAGGAAAAATATTTGCTATCATGATAAAAAAAGAAAGTACATTAAATATTCTGCTGAGAATCCATGATAACTGTGCGTGCACGCAGAAGCGCAGAGCTCATATGTATGCATCGTTGTAAATTCATTCTTTCCGGCGCTGTGTTTACAAAAACAACGTTCCATCATTTTCAGTCCGCACGGATCCTCAAAAATCCCTCTCCTCTGCAAAACAATAATAAGAAACCGGCCCACCAGCAGCGCTCCATGGTGGCAAGCGTATGTGTTTGACCCCTGTGGGACCTATATGCCTTTTATTAACACCTGCCTGTTAGAGGAGCGCTGCAAGGCGGCTGCGAGCTGATGAGGGAAACCTGGAGCGGGTTCAGCCCGTGTCACCGGCCGTTTGCTGTTTCCATTTCACAGATGATTAATCTCTCTGTGAAGACTTGGGCCGACGCGGGCGGAGTGTATGCAGCTCTTCCTGCGCTCTCTCCCGCTGGCTGCACTCTGGCTGCCTGACTAAAAGGCCTTTAGAATTCCTGCAGAGAGAGATGTGCAGAGAGTGAATGCAGCTGGCTGGGGGTCAGTGTGTGGAGCTTTTTCTGCCATTGTGTAATTGAGGCTCTGGCAGGATTTTTTTCCTCAGTTCTTTCAAAAGAGAGTATGATTGTGAAGTGCTGCAAGGGTTCGGGGAGGGAAGGAGGAGGCAGGGAGAGTGGTGCAGGGGGTGGGGGAGTTTTTATATGAAGGGGGAGGTCAAGTTGACAGGAACAAAAAGAGTGTGTTCCGCTAATTTCTGCGGGGCTGGATCAACAATAATAGGCTCAATTTCTTTATTACAAATTTTATAACTACCCCCCTCCCATTTTCCCACCCTTTTCCGCTTCCAGATCCTGTCAAGACCCAGTCTCGCCTGTGGTCTCAGCCCACAAGTGCGTCAGTAATGAATGCGGCGTACGTCGCGGTAAATGCTCAATATTTTCAGAAACAGTGAATAATTAGCGTCGCACCTCACAAGTGCTTATTCAGTATGACTGCGCTCCGTAAAGTGCCCGAGGAAGGACCAATAATTTACACCTTTACTAACCAACTTCCAATTAGTTCCCCTGCTCTTTCCAATTTTGTCTATCCTTTTCATTAAATAGTCCCGGTGGAGCTGAGAGACACCCCAGAAGGCATTTTGTCAGGGCTTAAAGGAAGGGGTCTTGTTCTTGCCTTCCCCTGTCGAAGCAGGGCCACTCCTGCCTGAATGCGAGCTCAAGCCATTGTTCCCTTTGGCATCAGGATGCCATGCATTTAGGAAATAATTACCCCATACCCTGCTGGGTTTATTCTGTTTCATCTCCTTTAATGGCTTCTTGTTCATTCTGTTTCAACCCCAAACAGGACGTTATGTGCAAAATAAAGAGCTGGGTCATGGATGAAAAGAAGCACGTCCGCTACTATCACGACTGGAATGACAAGGAGGTAAGACTTTGATGTGAATGAAATTTATTAAAGTGATTTATCTTGACAATCTTTTTATGTGACCTGAAAGTAAATCTTCCACATTCATGTTCTTATTTTTTTTTTCTGTTAAATCTAACTTTTGTTCAAGTTAATGACATCTGGCCAGTCTGATCTTGATTTAGGCTCTTCCTCGCTGACCCCCTGCAGAGCTTATAATTTCATTTGGCTTCATTTGTCGCTGTCTGTGCTCTCCTCAAAGGCCACTTTTGGAAAGTTTCAGATTCTCAGAACTCATCTCTCTTTCCTCCACAGATCGATGTGCTGAACAAATACTTGTTTCTGACATCTAAACCAATGATCTACCTCGTTAATCTTTCTGAGAAAGACTACATAAGGAGGAAGAACAAATGGTAAGTGCTCAGAAGAAGGGCGTGGGCAGGCTGGCCATGTTCACTAATCACCACCAAAGAGCTTTTGTGCTCGTCTTATAAGAGGAGTTGCGTTCATTTCAGCAAACTTTTCATTAATACTGCAATCAGTTACAGAACATGCATGTGCCTCCCTCTGCGTGCATCCGTTTGCCGGCACATGAGGCCAACTGTAGTCTCCTGCTGTTGCAAGCGGTCACATCTTTGAGATAGATTCTGCCTGGAGGTGGCAACGAGTAAAACTCCCAACACAACATCCAGATTTGCAAGCCGTAACCGCAGCCCCCAGACTGTGCAATTCATTAAGCGCACACAAGCACATGGTCCTCATTTTGAATCAAAATTTCTCATTTCCATGCAATATCAAAGCAAGAGGAGGTGCTTCCAGTGACAAAACAAGCATGTGTACATTTAAAGCCAAAACAAGTGATTAATATCATCTGGAGGCGAGGTAATGAATCATAGTGACACAAGCTAACTGAAGGCTTTTTTTTTGCTCCAAATAGTTGGGTTTGTCTTCACATGTTGTCGCTCTTGCTTTACAAGCGTTTTTTTTTTTACTGCTAGGAAACTCCCACGCCTCAACACAACGACTCAGGCGGATGTGATGAACAGATGCACGCATGTTTTATTCCTAATAAACTGTTCTGAAACTTTTGAGAAACAGTACTTTGTTCAAATAGCTTTCCAGGAGCATTGTAATGTTTATGGATTGAAGATAAGGTTTAACACTGTAATGTGAGGTTCTTGTTGGTCAAAAACACAGTTTGTCACCTGTTGCAGGAGAAAAGGTGAGAAGAGGTTCTCAATTGGGGGCACGTTTTGTTGTGTATTGTTGCATGGATTGGTTAAAAGTTAGTTTTAAGACCAACAGGATTTTTTATCACCCAGTTTCTTTGGCCACAAGTCTTTTCATTGAGGAGCAGAGAAACATAAGATTAATTTCCCCAGCTTTGTGGAGCATAACGGTGTTCCTACCCCACAGGTTGCTGCTCGCTGCCAGTAAGATGACTGAATAAAGACTCCTATATTTTTCAATTTCTTTCAAAAATGAATAATTACGTAGAACTCCAGATATTTGCACCTCTGCTTGACCCCAGTTCACTCGACCGAGCTCTACTCTACTCCAAAGTTGTTTCCACAGACCCAGGAATACCTGTAGGACGGGAACTCCTCCTGGAGGGGGAGACTTTAGGCCACACCTACACCTTGTGTTGTTCTTCATAACTGTATAATAGCCATGCATGTCATCATCTTTTTAGACAACAGAAGAAGAGTGAGCTATGAAGGTCATGGAGTCTGTGGGTTGCTATTTTTTTAGCATTATTTGCGTCTATTTCCCTGTACCGCCATTCTTTCTGCTACTTCGACAAACATATTGTCATTTGTACAGAAAAGCCTGTGCAAATGACACAGACTTTTCTCATCATTGCACCAATGTTTACATTTGTTGGTAGCTCCGGACAATTTTATTGCTTCTCTCTTCTCTGCTGTTGCAAGTTTGAAAAAAATGGCGACTGTGTTTCTGCTTGCTCAACTCACACGTCTGATCATTCCCATGGACCATTGATGAACTGCAGTCTGTTCATGTAACATAGAGCACGTACTTAGCTCTGACTGTACACAAAAAGCCAATACAAGTTTAAAAAAAAAAAAAAAACAGTAATGGAAATGTTTGCAAAGCAGATTGAGCAGGAGAGCCACCCTAAGAAGAGCCTGAGAAAATTGCCACAATTTGTTTATTTGAAAACATATTTAGTCAATTAAACACGCACAGGCAGGTAGTGGTTACTAAAGGAGCATCAGCCATCACTTTTTATAGGGTAATTGTTTTAAAACTTAAGTTGGCAAGCTTTGAGAGAGATGCCCAACAAATAACCAGCTTGATTAATCAGCTGCTATCAATTCAATTTATTTTACCTCTAATAGTACTTTAGATAGCAAAATAGCAAAAATCCTATTGCAACTAGCACTTAAAACTAGAACCAAGTTTAGCTGGTGTTTATTACATATTAGTGACATATTTGTGACATTATTACTTGATTATCTCAAATCAGTCCACATTTTGCTCAGGTTTGCTGTAGTTGCTATAAACATGAGCAAACCTTTAGTGTTTAAGAAAAAGAAAAGCAAACAAACTGAAGTAGAAATAAAAATGGGATGTATTTAAATATTTCACAACTGTACAGTACAATAAACTGAACAGTGTATAGTTATGGGGTTTTTGTTTCACTTAAATTAATCTGTAGTATGCAACTCACTCTTAGTTGTAAAACCATTTATATCACTGTGCTTTTTATGCAGAAGAAATAACGAAAATTTAGATTGCATACGTTGGGAAAAATGCACAGTATTCTTTTGTATTTAATCATTTGTTCATGTTCTAGTTATTTACACATCCTTTAAATGAAAATAGCTGTTGAAACTAAAAAGAAATGATGACAATTGCTCTGTCTTTGTCTTGTTTTGTTTTGTTTTTTGGTACAGTTTCTTGAGCATCTTTGAGAATCTTGCAGAGCTTCTGTTTAATATCACAAAATTGATGTTTATGAGTTCTCTCAAAAAGTAATTTGGACTCTTGTAAAACTTTTGTGGTACGGTACAAAAGCAATAATCTTCAGTCTGTGTCTTCTTGTAGGTCAGAGAGGATTACCTTTCAAGCGTCTACAGTGTTAAAATGTGGATTGTTATCACACTTTTACAACTGAAACAAAACAACCTTGTGCTGTTTAAAGATTTGAGAGTTTGGCGGAGATTCTCCCCATGCAGGAACTCTTAAAAGCCTTGAGGGGTTTTGAAAACGTAGCTACAGATCTATACGAAGCCTTTCTTGATACTGACAAAAGAAAAAACTTTCAGCAGGTTTCTCCAAAGGGTTTTGACGCATTTTGGATATGACAAAGAGCAATCCTGTAAAACTTCTGCAATGTCACAATAATAAACTCAAGAACTTGTATATTATTTCACCAAAAGCCAGCTGTCATCTTGCTAGACTTATACAGGACATTGCAAAAGTAAAAATCCAAAGTGTTTAGTGTGAATTTGAATGGCTACCTTCCTACACAACAGCTGTTTTGTCCACAGAACCAACTGTGTGGATTGTTATTACACTTTTTCAACAGGCCTCCGGGCTTGTTGTGTCAGGTTTACAAATTAATAAAAAATGTATTTTGTGAGTTTTGCTTGACAGCATTGTAACACGGGAGAAGTTGTTTATCTATGACTATTTGTTAAAATGTTCCTGTCACAAATGTAAAACTGTCAGAAAGGGGGAGGAGGAAGAGCTCATAAATCAAATGATTCATGACAAGACGAACATCGGTCGTCAGAGCAAAAATAGTGTTGTTTTTTTTATTTTGCGTGTGTGTGTGTGTGCGTGCGTGTAGGTGTGTGTTTTTAAGGTGTGAAACGCCATAAATCTTTCAGCGCTTTAAACAGGCAAACAGTAGCACTTCCCCGAGGGCTATGCGATGAACAATGCTGACATCAAAGTGTTGATGTTTGACAAGTGATGAGTCACTTCCCTTGTCCAGAGAGGAGCTCACACCTGTATGGAGATGATTACAGGTAGATCTGGCTGGCCCTAATTGTACAATAAATGCTGCTCTCAGCCCTAATGGCAGCTAGTCTGCTGCAGAGACGCCAGACTGCCATTTGGCTGTCGCCATGCTCCCGTGTTTTTCTACCGCCACAGTTGAGATGATGATACGGTTAAGGACTATTGAAAGCAAACAGCAAGACAAATTGCAATTTCAGCTTCAATGTGCCGAGGAAAAGACGGTAGATCGTAGAATTAGGCAAATTTTATCGGTGACTTTTTGGGACGCCCATACAGGCCATTCCACAGGTTCCCGTTTTTCTCCAAGAGCTGTTTTCATTTGAAGTGTGTCTTTGAGTGCATGCTTCCCAGAGAGATTTGGGTCAATTTTAGCAACATACCCTAGAAAACATCGGTTTTGCGCATGTTGTCACGTCCACTGACCATTTAACCGTGTTTTAGGGCACACATTTGCCTATTTAACAACTTGCGCCGCAAGAACCGAGTTAGATCATCTCATTTGGAGTATGGGAACCACAGACCAAGCTGCCCTTGTTTAGACAAGAATACACAGTATTAGCTTTAGCAAGCCATCATTAATGGAGGGATCAGACGAGGAGCAAGGCCTCCTTTCATCCTCAGGTTCTCTGCTGGAGACAGAACATCATTTACTGTTGAGAGGAGCACATGGCTCCAATCCTATACAGTTCATGTGTATGAGAATGCGTACATGCGCATGTTTGAAGTCTGTTTCAGAGGCGACTCCACGCTCATTTGGATGCTGGCGTAATTGCGGTACGGAGATCAAAGGCGCGCTGGCCGAGTGATGTTCCAGAGGAGACTTTACCACACAGCCCTCTCCTCTGTGCAGAGGGGGCCGCCTGCTGATCACCGCTCCCCTCTCCCCTCCAGCCATGCGCTGCCCCCTGCACATCCCCGCTCGTAAAAAATGATTAAGGCTGTATTTGTCATGTGTTTATGACTGAGAGGCATTGCGTGATAGGGAATGGCATCTACAAGAGACTCTGTCAAGAGGCCTTCCCCTCTTTCCCCCACTGTCGGTAAGTTGTCTGGAAGACTATTTCTCTGCTGCGCTTACTGAAGTTTGTTTTGTAGAGAAGGTCATTAGAGCACTGCTGATGATGTGGTGGCTGCACTCTCGCCCATCATCTAAGACATTGTTTATTTTACAACCATATGAACATTTTTATCAGTCCTCATTCCTTTTAAAATCAGATATTTATCCAATCATCCTCCGAGAACAAAGAGTAGCCGTAGCTGGGAGAGAAAAGGACACACTTGAGAATATTCCTGCTATATGCTGTGATGTTTTTCTTTCTTGTCATTTCCTTTTCTTTCTGCTTTTATTTTTTTCTTCTTTTGGACAATGTGCATTAAAGTAAATTGGAGCCTCTTAAGTAGATGAGTTGACCTTTAAGGAAAC